CCCTGTTAGTGGGCATGCACTTCCCCAAGGTTAGAGCCCCAAGGTTTCAGGGTTCAGTTTACATGTATCCCCAGAGGCCTATTCAAACTCTAATCTTCCCAGGTGTCTGTCTCTGTCTCTGTCTCTGTCTTTCTCTCTCTCTCTTCCTCTCTTTCTCTCTCTCTCTCACTCTGCTTCCTGTTTGCAGTTTAGGATGTGAGCTCTCAGCATCCGGCTCCAGCCACCACGCCTGCCTGCTGCCACGCATCCTCGCCAGCGTGGTGGCGGACTCTACCCCTTTGGGACCATAAGCTCAATTAACCCACTCTGCTAACAACGCCTCAGTCCTGAGCTCTTTATCACTACAGAAATGAAACTAACACAGTCACTTTTTGTTTGTTTATTTGCTTGCTTGTTTTCCTTTTGCAAGTGACCCTATCCTGGTGTTATGATGTAAAGAGCCACAGGTAACACCCTGATGTCTGCACTGATGGGTGTTCTCCTGCCTCATCTTTTAGAGGCCCCGTGACAGTGGCAGACATCCTTTGCCATTACTGCTTAAGAGCCACCCTCTCTGACCACCATCCTCTGAGGTGAGTTGCATGGAGCACAGGTCACATGATCTAGAGCACACAGCTGGTCAGTGGCACAATGACACCAGACTTGGACGCCAGGCCTCAGAAAGTAGAGGTCAGAAGTGTGGGGCTGCAAGTCCCGAAGTCACCTATTTTGCACTGCGGGTGAGCGAACTGGCTTCCTGGAACTCCAGTTTCGTCTGCAAAACAAGGATCCCTTCAACCTTACAGGTCACCCCACTCCCCACCCCCAGACAATGGCCAGAGCTGTTCATCTTAGGGCATCTCAGCAGTAGTGAGACATGTGCCTTCCATATCTCTGGGCGCCTCAGCCGTCCTTGGCTGTGAAAAAGGTGCCACTCGGCTGTCCTTTCTTCTGGCTGGTCATTTTATTTTCCGGTGGAACTGTTCTGAAGCCTGGAGGCCCAGGCCTAAAACTTGTAGGGGCTGACTGTACTCCAGCTGGGAGCTCACAATGCTCCTGGACAGACACCGGGGAGCTCTCCTTGCTGAGAACACCTGCCCTGGGAAACCAGGCTGTTCCAGGTTGGAGGGGAAGGGGGAAGCGAAGGGAGGGAAAGGAGAGGGGAGGGGGACGGGAAAGAAAGGGGAGGGCTCTTCCTGGCCTGTTCTGTAGGAGGAGCAGGGAGGACATTGAAAAACATAGTGGGGGTCAACTGTCAGCAGTGGGGGCAATGGGGCGGTGAGTACTCTCCAGAAGCTCCAAAGCATCATGGGACCCAAAGCAGATGTCTGCTTGATAGCCTGGTCTCATCTATAGGCAAGGTCACCCAAACTCAACTGTGCATCTGGAAGGCAAGGAGGGGACAAACAGAGGGAGGACATAGAGAGACTTGCCCGTGAGCGTCAGGACAAGGAGGGAGAGGGATGGTGTGTCTAGGGTGGTTGTGGGGGCTCTGCCAGAGTAGAAGGGATGAGGGCAGGTTGGTCAAGCTGAGAATGTGTTAGGAGACAGCCAGGCTTGCCTGGGTGGTGCATGAATGATTTGGGTCCTGAGGCCTACAACTATCAAGAGAGGACTGGAGGCAGGAGCCAGAGGCTCAGAGGAGACAGCTGGGTGTGAGAGAAAGGCATGAGTGTTGGTGTGTGTGTGTGTGTGGGGTCCGTTTATACTCAGAACTTTCTCTATGTTGAAGCCATTAGCATGTGGGCAGTCTTCTGTAGGTGGGGTCATTTGCATGCAGGAAGCCATCTGCCTGTGGGCTGTACTCTGGTCCTAAGGAATTGAGCTCTCTCCCTGGGGAGACTGCAAAATGTGTAGAAGCCAAGCTTGAGCTTAGAGAATGCTTGCAAGTGGACAGAAAAGTGCAGGGCAGCTCAGAAGTTAGGACCAAGAAGAGATGGCTGGGACTCAGCAGGAAACCTACCAGTTCCTAGGAGGGAGAAAGGAAAGGTGACGTCCAAAGTCAGGGGGTCATGCTTTCAGGGTTACCTCTTGGAGGCCATTATGTCCCCGGTGGATACAGTATGGTCTTTTGTGACCTTGCTTGAGTAGAGATATTTGAGTGTGCACTGGAAGCCCCTTCCTGAGGTGGTGAGGGCATAGGAACTGGCTGCCCACAGAGGTGCTCTCAGGATGTGTGTCTCCCTCCTGAGCCTCAGGTCCCATGTGACTTTGTGCTTCCCCGTTCCCTTCATAGGACTGTCCTGTATCTCATGTTTCATGTGCTACCTTCATTAACTTCCCTGGCACTCTGTGGGGAAAGAGTGCTGCTATCTTAGGGTTTCTATGGCTGTGATAAAATCCTATGACCAAAATAACTGGGGGAGGGAAGGGTTTATTCAGCTTACACTTCCACATTGCTGTTTATCACCGAAGGAAGTCAGGACAGGAACTCACACAGGGCAGGAACCTGCAGGCAGGAGCTGATGCAGAGGCCATGGAGTGTGCTGCTGACTGGCCTGCTACCCCTGGCGTGCTTAGACCGCTTTCTTATAGAACACAAGACCACCAGTGCAGGGATGGCCCCACCCACAATGGGCTGGGTTTTCCCACATCAGTCACTAGTTAATGCCCACTAGGCTTGCCTAAAGCCTCATCTTCCCACTGAAGCATATCCATTCATTCATTCATTCATTCATTCATTCGTTTGTTTTTGGAAGCATTTTTTTTTAAATTGAGATCCCCTCCTCTCAAATGATTTTAGCTTCTGTCAAGTTGACAGAAAACTATGGAGTACAAGTCTGCACACACTGCTCTCACCAAAATATATTATCGGTGTCAGAGCAGAGGCAGAAGCAGGTGGATCTCTGAGTCCGAGGCCAGCCTGCTCTACAAAGTGAGTTCCAGGACAGCCAGAGGTACACAGGGAAACTGTCTGGAAAGACATAATAATAATAACAACAACAACAACAATAATAATAAAAGAATCCTAGTTTGGAGGATCCCCTCTCAGGAACCATAGAGCAGGGAGTCCAGATGTAATCGGACTGTGGCATTTTATGCAGCTGTGAATATTTACTGTATGAGGGAAGCATAATTAAATGTAAAGAAAGCGGAGGGACCTACACTATTCAGTCACTCCTGTCAGAGTGTTAGAAACAGGAAAAAAATAAACAAACAAAACAACCCAGCTCCCAGCTTGAGGATCTGGACCAGGCGGGACTGGTGTGCTCTGTTGATGATCCAGAGGGGCTCCCACCAGGAGTACTTGTGTGCCGGTCCGCTGAGTTACACTCGTGGTTCATGAACACAGCACACATATGTACACACATGTACAATGTGAAATCTGTAAAACAATCAGAGATCTCGTCCCACCAGACAGTTCTCAGCACTGTTATAGATGAATGTGGTGGTGACGGTCTCCGGTTTGGCAGGTCCTGGTTTGACTCCCAACCTTGTCACTCCAGGCTGGCTGTTAGATACCTTGGGGTCTCAGGTGCATTGCAGTGTCATGCCCTCCTCCTAAGGTGGCTTGGGCATGTGGGCTGGTTAGTTTTAACTAACAAGTGACACTACCTGGAGTCCCCTGGGAAGTAGAGGAATGGTTTAGATCAGATTGGCCTGTGAGCTTGTCTGTGGAGTACTGTCTTGATTGCTACTTGTTGTAGAAAGACCAAGTCCTCTATGGGCGTTAGCATTCCGTAGGCTTTGCCTACACAAGAATGAAGCCAGCTAGGAAGCCAGCCGGCAGCGAGGGTACATTCGTTTTCTCTGCTCTTTTCTGGGACCAAGCTCTTGCCTCTGACTTCCCTGCTGTGAGAGACCGTAACCTGGAATTGTAAGCCAAATAAGTTGTTTTGTGTCAGGGTGTCTTCCCAGCAACAGGAATGAAGCTAGGCAGAGTGGTAGGACGTAGCAGATGACAGGGACTCTCCTAAGCTTCCTGCCTTGCCTCCTTATCCTGGGGTCACCTCCCTAGGATCTTGGCCTGCAGGAGACCGCCTTGCTCAGCAGCTGCTGCAGAGGAACTTTTCCTTCCTGATCTGTCAGTAAACCTGAAGGCCTGGTGGCATCTCTGACCCTTCTCTCTCATGTGAGCCGCTTTCTCCCATGTGCGGATGTGGAAGGGATGTGCTCCTTGTGGGACAAAGAGTGGGCAAGAGGAGAGCTGACACCAGGAGACACTTGAGGGGTTTCTGGAGAGTTCTCTCTGACCAGCTCTTGATCTTGATCCCTTTTGGTTCGGGGTGGGGCATGAGCTGCATGGTGTGGCAGCTTTTGGCATGCTTCTGTTCCCACCTGTGAGGTCGATGCCTCTGTGTGAGGCATTGACACCTCTCTCTCTCTCTCTGTCTCTCTGTCTCTCTGTCTCTCTGTCTCTCTCTCTCTCTCTCTCTCTCTCTCTCTCTCTCTCTCTCTCTCTGGTATCATTTACACCAAAGGAATTGGCAAACCCTTCTGAGAGCCAGTAATATCACCAGCCCACCATGACCAGACACCTTTAATTTTTAAAAGCATATTCGGTCATTCTTCTATGCAGCCAGGAATGAGACCACTGTCTCATGTTGTCCCAGGACAGATCTAGCAAGGTGCGTGTTCACCAGTGACAGTTACCTAGCTGTAACATTATCGGTCGCTTATGTGAATTTGGTCTTGCCCGTCACAGTCCCATTTTCCATCTGGTGAAACTGAGTTCCGTATGGAATGTCTTGAATCTTTCTCTTGCCACAGCTACTTCGGTGGCCGAGGCTGGGTTTGAACCCAGTCCTGAGCTGCTAGGACTCCAGTCTAGTGAGGCTGTTGCCATCTGTGGCTGTGCTTCGTCTCCCCGAGCAGGCTGGATACAGAGCCATGCTCTTTCTGTTCAAGATGGCTTTGGGGTCTTAGCCTGTGGCCATAAAATCCACGGTGTGCCTACATGGGATGGAAGGTTGTCATGGAGACTGCATAGGCGGTGTCTACCCAGTTCAGGCCAATGGCATGAACAGAAAGGAACCAGACACTAAATCGTTTCGGTGCTGGTCTGTTTTCTTCCCCTCCAGTGGAACACGACAAAGAATTCTTCCACCCTCGATACCACCATCGGGAGTTCCGGTTTGATCTTTCCAAGATCCCCGAGGGAGAAGCGGTGACCGCAGCTGAATTCAGGATCTACAAGGACTACATCCGCGAGCGATTTGACAACGAGACCTTCCAGATCACGGTCTATCAGGTGCTCCAGGAGCACTCAGGCAGGTAAGTTCTGCACCTGTGTGGGAGTAAGATGCTCAGCTGCAGAGGAAGGAGTGGGTGACAGGCTGACGTGGGGGCGGGACATCCTGTGGCTTCTGCTATAAGGCCCTGGTCCAGATGACTGTCTTAATGGTGATATGTGAATGTCCCTTTAAACCATGACACCATGCAAACCTGGGCAGGGATATGGGAGTCCGGGAATTCTGGGAACCTTGAGACTGTGCCTCTCTGAACAGGACTACATGAACAGGCTAGGTATGGTGCTGAGTTCAGAAAGGGAGGGGGCAGGAGAGCTGGTGTTGATGGTCCTTCCAGTCACTGATCCAAGCCCTGGATGATGTCAGACAGCCAGGGAAAGTAGCCATTTATAATCAAATGCTAAGGGAAGAAAAAGAAGGAGGAGGAGGAGGGGGAGAAGGAAGAGGAGGAGAAGAAGGAGGAGGAGGAGGAGAAGAAGGAGAAGGAGGAGGAGGAGGAGGAGGAGGAGGAAGAGGAGGAGGAGGAGAAGGAGAAGGAGAAGGAGAAGAAGTAGTCCCAAACCAAAAGCAAACAGCTGGAGAACTCTTGCTATACAAGAATTGCTAGGTCAGGAACCAAAGTTTGTTTTGAAAGACTTATTTCTGGAGATTCTCTCACTTCACAGAAAGGTAAGGAGCTTAGAGATGATGGTGGCCAGTCCCTCAAATACATCCAAAGTTCCAAGAGTTGGCATGGCCTTGGTTGCCTTTCTTTGTGCCTGGGTTTATGTATTCTGAGGCTGTGGGACTTGTATTGTCCCCACAGACTCTGTGGCACAGGAGTTAGTGGGAGAATCTTCAGCTAGGATGGGGACAGTGACAAGGGAAGCCTCGTCCTGGCACTGCTGCTTGGTAGCTCATCCGAGTGGCAAAGGAAACGGAATTTCTGTGATGTTTCTATGTCTTGCACCCAGGCGACACTTCACATACATGCTAGCACTTTGGGGTAACAAATCTGGGAAATGGGCAGAATGTAAGTGTCCTAAAATCACCCCAGAAGAGAGCGCACATGAGGACTTGGCCCAGGTTTGGGAACTGGAGGCAGACCAGGCTTATAGAAAGACTTCCTGATAATGATTTAATTTTGAGCTGAGTCTGGTGGTACCCAGCTACCCAGGGGGCGGAGTCAAAGGATGTCGATCTTTTAGCGATGCCTTGTCTCACACTGAAAAGTAAGATAGCAGGTCTGGGGCCAAAGCTCGCTTGCCTAGGATGCCCAGGACCCTGGGTTTAGTCCTCTATAAAGCAAGAAAGGGAAAAAAAGTTTTAGACAAGACACACGAGAAGTAGCGCTGAAGAGAGAAGCAGAGGCTCCTGTGGAGTTGAGGCTCCTCAAACGGCCGAGTCCTCGGTCCCCTTCCTGGGTGGCATCATCCGCTCCCCGTTTCTCTTTCTCTGGAGGAGACACCACCACCCACTCTCTCCTGCCTCTAACTGGGGGCAATTTGCTTGACATCTCCCATGCTGGCTCTTTCAAATCCACACAGTCCCGTGGCATGGGCCATGTTGTGTTGTGTTGTGTGTCTCACCTATTTATAGTGACCTCCATTCTGCTGCTCTGGATGGTGCTGTGTGGGTGGGCGGCCTCACTCCTGAGCGTGTCTGCCTGACGTTCTAGAACTGCGGGTATGTTACATACGTGTGTGCACGTGCACAGCCACGTACTCACACATGGCCTTCCCAGAGGTCACCAGGCTTTCCCCGCCAACCAGGGAGGAGAAGGCTGGTCCCCTCACACACTCAGCAAGGCCTCCTACCAAACCGTTTTTGATCCCTCTGATAGGTGACAGATAGCATCCTGGGGTGGCTTTAATCTATGCTTTCAGCTCCCACTGCCCCGAGCCAAGCTCAACCCTGCAGGGCTTTCTTGCTAGAGAGGCCAGCAGTGAACTCTAGGGCAGGCAGGGCACAGGAAGGAGCTGGGTGGCTGGGGGCAGGAAGGCAGCCACGTGGGTCAACTCTGAATCTTCTCAGGAACTCAGATGCCCCGTGGATCTTAGCTTGGTCCTTGGGCCCAGCCTCATGAAGAGGACATGGGCTGTCTTCTGGAGTTCCAGCACCTGCTGTGCACTTGGGAGCATTTTTACCCCAGGACTCTTGTTTCTTTTCGATGACTGGAATTGAATCTGAGCCTCGTGTAATCTGGGCAAGTAAGCGCTCCACCCCCAGGCCATCAAGACTCTTAGCCAGACCATGTGTTTTATCTTTCTCGAAGGCTGATGGCTTAAGGTAAGGCACATACCCAGAGGTTGTTTGACAACAAGAGGGGCATCCACTTGTGCCCGGGGCTCTTGGTTGGCTTCCAAACCTGCCTCTCAGAATGACTCACTGCCACATAGTGGCATCAATGAGTCCTGCCCAGCCTACCTAGATGGGTGACTGGTCATGTGCCCACTCTTCTCCCATCTCTCCCTGTAAGAACATGTGCCCTCCTGGTGGTTGAGGATCGCTGGGTCTGGAGGTCACCTCTGACGCCGAGCTTCTCTCGACTGTGAAAAACTCACTTCCTGATACCACAACCTTGCATGCTGTTCTTCCTGTGCAGCGGGTGTCTGTCCTGTGCCTGTGAGCACCCGTCGTACCCTGTGGTGTAAGGTGATGGAGGCCAGGGGCCCTCGAGGTGGGTTAGGTGGCACTCATGCAAGTCAAGGCCATGAGATGAATGAATGAAACAGAGTTGAATGAAACAGAGATGAATGAAACAACGGACTCCATGATTCATTTTTCAGCCTTTTGTGTGCGTACAAGCCAGATGCTGTTCTCAGAGGTCAGGCAGTGGGAATAGATGGAGGAGGGGCTTCGAGAGCATGAACGCCATGTAAAGTTTTTATTGTGGTGCGTCTGAGTTCGCCAGGATGTGACCATGACTAAGTCCCACGAATGGCAGCCCAGAGCAATAGGGCTGGATTCCCTGGAGCCTATAGCTTCAGAAATAGTCAGTGGTGTGTGTGCGTGTGCGTGTGTGTGTGTGTGTGTGTGTGTGTGTGAATGTGCTCTTCTTGAAGGTTCCTGATGTGGCTTTCAGCTGTGGGTGATTTTAGGCTCAGTCCCCTCTGAGCATGACCCCGACTGTTTCTGCCTGGGCTCCCCCTGTGTCTCCTGTGTCATGAGGGGTCCATCCTAATCTGCTTTGAGTTCCATTAACTCGTCTGTCTGCGGAGACATTAGTTATTAATGAGGATGGTTCCAGTGACAGGTCACGGGGGGCTAGGACGTGAGTCTCCTTTTTGGGGTACAGTTCTACTCATAGCAGGGTGAGAGGAGATGTGAATTCAGGAGGAAGGGGAGAGAGAAGCTAATGGCTTGGAGCTGTGGCTGAAGGTGGTGGCATGACAGGTATCTGCTTTGTGGCCACCAATGACCTTAAGGTGTTTGAGTGACAGGAGTTCTGTCAACAGAGGACAGAGGAAGAGTGTCACCAGAGCAGCCAGAAGGGCCCTATGGTCACATGAGACAGCATGGAAAGACCTGTCACTGCTAGAGCGGATGGACCACTCAGGCCTTGCAGAAAAGATAAGGCTTTGTGCGTCTTCTCGCCGCTCCTGAGATCACGTGAAGGGTCCCGCCATTTCTGGGAGATAAGAAGGTATGGATTCTAGTTGACAGAGTAACGTGTGGTATAGAAGTCTTTAGCTCCCTGGCATGCTGGTGTCAAGGGTGGCTTATTGATGAGGACCTGCCTCTGGGGACGGGGCTCCTTGCTGAGCGGAGAAGGGGACACAGAGCCGCTGGAAGTATATGACCTTGAAGGAGAAGAGTTGATTGACAACAGGAAGGCGGGATTAGTGGACTAGTAGGTGTTCTTCTGAAGCCCCACAGGCAGAATCGAGACCCTTCTCCTGAAGGGAAGGAGCTTTAGCCCGAGCTTTATTTTCTGAGTTAACTTTGTTTTCTTAGTTGCTTTTGAACCTGGGGCTTCTCTGGAGGCACAGGGTGGTGGTGGTGGTGGTGGTGGTGAGCCAACCCAGCTTTAAGAACATGGATTCAAATTCTGCTAGAGTGATCATGACCTTGGAGACTCAGTTTCCCCTCTGAGAAGGAATGATCACGGCATCTCACTCCCAGGGTTATGGAGAAGGTTTTTTAGAGAATATTTTCCGCAGTAAATGTTCACTAAACGCACTCAGTAATGGTCTCTCTCACTGTAGGAGGGAGAGAGTTCTTAGCTTCAGACTTCCACAGAGCTGCCTTCTTCTCTGGGCTTCCGAATACGTGTATAATTTAAGCATAAGAAGATGCCTGGGGACAGAGGCCTGAGCCAGGTAGAGATGCATGGCTCCTTTACATGTCCTCAACTGTGCCTCTTCCATCACAAGCCTCCTGCCTGCCCAGACCTCTGAGGAGCCCAGTGCCTGCCCCTCCCCCAACCCCCAGTTCTGCCACTTCCCTGGGATCTGTGCTTAGAGAATGTAGTTCTGCTGCCTCAAGCCACCCAGCTGCTCAGGGCCTGGACATCTGGCTTCCTGGCAGGCTCCAGGGACACTCCAGGGGTGCTGGGATTAGCCAGCTGTGGGCTGGCCTCAGCATCTCTCCCCTGTGGGAGTCTCTTTCCACCAAGTCCTCTTGATCTGTTGGAGTTGGAGGACTTCCATGGTCTGTCCCTGCCTCAAGCCAAGCTCCAGATAGCTGGAAAGGCTGGAGAGGTTTGCCACAGCCGCCCTTGGCCAGCTGTGGGGAGCCAGCGCTCAGAGGTGGGCCTGGAGATGGGTGGGTTCACTCTGGAGGCTTTGCTGGGGTTGATACCCGAGGATCAGGAGCTTAACCTTACTTCCTGGACTCTGAGCCTGGGGCTGGACCAGCCAACTTCCATGCTTGTTTTTGCAGGCTGGGGGGGGGGGGGTCGCACGAGGCACTCCATCCCAACCTGTGCTCTTCCTGGTTGCTTCCAGGCCTGCTCCTCCTGCACTGGAGGGCTGTGTTTGCACCAGGAGCCTCAGGAGGCCAGGCCCTGTTACCCCCAAGGTCGAGACGTTGTCTGCAGCTGGT